TGGGAGGAGAAGAAAAATGTAAGAAAAGTAGAGGTTGTTCGGTATTTATTGGCATTTATTGAGAATTTAAAATAATAATAATTATTTGTTTCCTTTTGTTTTTGGGGTTTGTGTGGAGATAAGAGTATCGATATTATTGTAGTACAGTACAACTTGTTTTTTTCTAAATGTCAAACTTTGTGTAGTACAAGAAAGGTAATATTTAGAAAGTAAACAGAGAGATTTATGTGCTCCTAAATTTCCAATTTTGATTAATTGCTATATTAGGTTGTCGATTTATAATTATCATAGTTAATTTTTAAGGAAAAAAATACCATTCATGTAATCCTCAATATTTGCTAGATCAATTTTGGATTGTTTTATTCATCAACAAATTATAGATGAAAAATATTACATAGGCATTTCAAATTTTACGACGTTATTCATTTATAGTAAACTAATATATGCAATCTAAACATTTTGTTTTTGGATGAATAATGTCTTCCTAAAATAATGATTTTTTTTTTCAATCTCTCCAACAGATAAAACCGTAGTTCTCAGAAGCCGCCGCGTGGCTAACCTTTGTTTTGGCCGGTGGCTCCTTCAGCACCGATCACCGGTCCTCTCGTCTGCATATTTAATCTCTTTTACCTCAGTTTATTCAAGGTATTTCTTTGTCGTCGCGGTTGTTTTTGTCGGAAGTAAAACTCGTGCGGTGGCCGGTGGATCTCAGTTGCCTTGTTGGTGGTCTTTTAGCTGGAATGGAGGGTCCGAGCCTTTTCAGGCCAACGGTGTTGCATCGGCAACAAAAGCCATCCCTCTCGATTAACAGATCCAGATCTGCAAATGGTTTTGGTCCTCACCGTTGGTTACAACACGTCTTCTTGCCGGAGGATGTGGTTTCTCCTCTCGTCGTTTTGGTGTGATAGAGTTTTAGCTATGTTTGAAGCAGAGATATCCTTCTGCTTGTGGTTCTAGTTGGTGTCTTTGATGTTATGGTTCCATGGTTATGGTGTTGGTCTTTAAGGTTCCTCACCAGTTTCGATCATTTGCCGGGTTTGTATGCGTTTGGTGTTAATTGGTTCTAGGTGGTTTTGTTTCTTTCTCTCTATTCATATGATATGATTGAAATATGCTCTGTTCAATGCCTCTATTGAGGATGTTCACGAGTCGTATTTTTTATATTGCATTTACCGTAAGAAAAGTGAAGAACTTGATGAGTTTTGTTCTTTCAATTACAAGCCTAAGACGATACTTTTGTCGTATGTTGCTTGTGAATAGCTATTGCAGTTTCATACTCTCATTGAGGCCGAGTTTGCTATAGGATATAAGAGTATATGATAACCAGTTTGGAATGTCGAGAGGATGATATTGTTTATCATCTTAAGGTGTGGAATTATCTATAATTCTACAACCTGAAGTATTGTTCCTCATATTGTATTACACTTATTGGTGTCTTATTTGAAATTTTTTATTCTCTCCATACTAGTTTTCGGTTATAATAAAATTGTTCTACAGGGTTAAAAAAAATGATTTTTAGGAGTGAATCAATTCCCTTTTTTTATTTTTCCCAAAAAAAAAAAGGAGTGAATCACTTCCAAACCTTTTTTTTTTCCTGACAAAATCACTTGCAAACCTTTGTCACGCGACGAGGAAGTTATTGTTTTAGGCTATTGATTCCGTATTTAACAATCTAACGGCTATATATATAGTTGATTAAAAAAAAAAATGCTTCATTATAGTATATTATATTCATGCCAATCGCCAAGCAAGCATGTGAAATAGTCCATGCTTCTTGTTCGTTGAGCTTCTGTGTTTGGGACGACGAAATCCTGATTTCTTAAATATAATTCATACATGTTTGCATTAATCAAATGGTATTTTAGACCAATGCTCCATTTTACAAATTAGTTCTGCTGATTACACGACAAATTGTATGTCTGAAAAAAAACTACTAAATTCAAGCTATATATACTTTTTACTACAAAAAATAAACAGATAAATAGAGGAAAGATTAAGAGCTTTATTTAGAAGTAATGTTTACAATATATGGTAATACTAATTATATATCCAATTGATTGATAAATCTCAACTTAATTACGACTGAAAGAAAAGAAGAAGAAAATAACAAGTTACGATAGGGGAAAACGGTCAATTTGGACCCAAACAATTTGCGTCGTACCGTTTTAGACTTGAACTTTTGCCTATGGCTAATTTAAACTTGAACTCCAAATAAATTCAAATCTTATACCTAAACTAATATGTTTTGTGCCGAATTATACATTGATCAAGATTATGTTAGTCAACATTAACGGAATATTGATCAAAACAACACGTGAGTTACCTGTCTCGGTTTCGTTGGCTCAAAACGACGTCATTTCGTTGTTTTAGTAAAACGATGTCGTTTTCATTTAGAGAAAACTTGAAATCAAATTTCTAATTCAATAAAATAACGTCGTTTTCATTTGAGGATTTATCGAATTAAGGATTCCATTTCAAGTTTTCTCTAAATGAAAACGATATCGTTTTACTAAAACAATGAAAATACGTCGTTTTGAGCCAATGAAACCGAGCTAGCTAATCCACGTGTCGTTTTAGTCAATATTCCGTTAATGTTGACTAACGGAATCCTGCTCAAAGTACAGTTCGGCACAAAACATGTTAGTTCATATATAAGATTTGATTTTATTTGGAGTTTAGGTTTAAATTAGCCATAGACAAAAGTTTAGATCTAAAACGGCACGCAAATTGTTTGGATCCAAATTAACCGTTTTCCGTTACGATAGTATAAAAAAGGATAGTGTATAATGTGTGATCTCACAAAAAGACGTATAAATATGGACTTTCCATCAGTACATTGTAAACATTACGTCTAAATAAAGTTTTGTGGTCATTCGCATTAACTATTTACACATTTCGAGAAATCTCTTTTGTATATATCAAAATCAAAATTGGTTACATATATTGAATTATAGTGCCATTACGAGTTAATTTGTTTCTCACGATAATGTGCAAATTCAAAAACTAAGGAAAGAAATAAAAAGTTGGTGTAAAACTGCCAATATTTTTGGGCAATCTCTCACTGGACCAATACATAACACAAGACTTTCACTACTGACATTTGGTTTGGCAAACCACGATCTACAACATTTGGGCGGAACTGAACCAAAGACTTTACCGAAGTCAATTTGGATCAACTGATTCCATTATCAGAAAGATTGACTTAACAATCCGAAATCGGATTTCAAGTGTCAGAGAAAGAAACCCTACTCTCGCCTCCGAGATGATTCAGCGATGGCTCTAGCAACCTTCACCATCCACGCCGGTGGTTACATACTTTATTAGTCCATAGAATGCCAAGTCAAGTGCTGTGCATAACCCACTGGTTAAATGTAGTTTTTTTCTTCAAGATATTTTACCAATTTTTAATGGGCTTCGTTTTAAGATAATTGCCATTCTATAAGCTCATAATACAGTACTTTTAATTTATCGGCCCATGTTTTAAATACCATTGTTACTAAGAATAAATAGAGCATCATATAGGCTCAATTTCATATTTTGGAAACACCAAAGTTTGTAATGAAAAAGTTTATGAAAGAGATGTAATTTTGTTGTAAAATGTATCGAATGTCTCAAAAAAATCAAAATTAGAATTTCCATCTTTTATAGATATGAATATGATTAAGACACATATAAAATACCATATATATAAAGAATCATTAACGAAATTATGCCCTTTTTTTTTTGAGAAAGACACATAAAATACCATATATATAACGAAATTAACGAAATTATACCATGTTGTGTACAAATATTACGAAAACGTTTGTGAATTTTAATTCTACACATTAGTATAATTTATGTTAACAAATGCTTTAACAGTAAAGCTAGAAACCAGAAACCCCTCGAGTCTCAAAAGTCGAAGACAGTAAAAGATTTCCTCATCTTTCGATTTTACCTTTTCAATTTTGAGATTAATAAAAACGAAAACGAACATAATCTCAACTAAATATCTTTGAAGTACAATTTTATACTCAAATATAAACACAATTATCGCATTATTGTTGTAAAAAATGTACATTGTACTACACACCAAACTCCAACCCAATAACATATAAATTACCCCATACACACTCACACAACAACCAACTCTTCACATCACGCGTTAAGAATATATCTCTAAACAATGAACGGCATGAAGGGATCTTCCACGGCAGCTCCGGCACCTTCACCGTCGTCATTCCTTCATCGCCGCCGTCATCACGGTGAGATGATGCATATGACATTCTTTTGGGGAACGCATACCGAAGTCTTATTCGATGGCTGGCCAGGGACCAATCTGAAAATGTATTGGGTCTGCCTCGCCGTCATTTTCGTCGCTTCCGCTGTCTCGGAGGGGCTTTCACGTTGCAGATGCATGCAAGCCGGTCCAGCTAGCATTGCAGGCGGGCTAGTCCAGACAGCTGTTTACACTGCGAGGGCTGGTTTATCTTATTTGGTCATGTTGGCTGTGATGTCATTCAATGGAGGAGTCTTCTTGGCTGCAATGGCTGGTTTTGGATTAGGGTTTTTGATTTTTGGAAGTAGGGTTTTTAAGGACACTAGTAATAACAATCACACCGAGGTTCAATCACATTGTTGATTTTTTTTTCTTTATTTAGTTACATCAATAATGATGCTTGTATCCTTGGATCG